GTTAACTTCACTGAAAGACTGGATCACCTTGATATTCTCTTATCTATAAAAAACCTAAAATCCATAGTTCTAATAATATTAATATGTTCTGTAAGTGTAGGATTGAAATCTCGTTCTTCCAACGTTAAAATAAAACAAGTGATTTTAGCATCAATTTGCTTAATTAACGCTAGACGTTTCAACAACGACAAATGGTCTTTAGTTAATATGGGCCTCAAATAAGAAAAGGAAGGAGGGAACAAACGTACTATAGGAATAGTCCTTTGATTAGTTCAAATATAAAACACACAATTATTAAAATTCCGGAATAGAGGGACTATATTGTTGTACAAAACTTGGGTCACTCATTAATTTTGTTTGTCTACATTGTGGTCTATACTTTAATCATTAAGCACGTCAGACGCTCGGGTCGTACATTCACACATAAACCACACAACCACACATTCACACCACACAATTTCCGTAGACATGAGCAATCGACACAATCGTAATCGGGACAACTACATAATATACACACATAGTCCCCTATCTATGTTGCGGGAGGAGTGTATCACCGTCCTCATATTTTACGTAGAAGGGAATCTACTGCCAGTGTGTCAAACATTTACTCCCTACTCGCTGGTTCTAGACTGTGTTGGTTACTTAGGTTCTACTGGACACTAAGTGCCGAGTGTCGTCGACAGGACCTTTGGACTTGTAGTATTATTTTGGTCACCTAAACACCTTAAACAGATGTCTGAACACACTCTAACAAGAAGGTTGTAATGCTGGATTTACAAGACATTCCTGTTAGTTAGTTGAAGGAAAGGAGTCCAGATGGAATGTAACCAAACATTAAGGGGTAGAGGTTTTGGGTCTGTTGGAGTCGGGGACACTGGGGTTGACCAGTGTGGCGTTCTCGATTTAATATTGAGTTCAGGAAAGATGTTGGTACCATGTGCCGTGCGTAACCCGTGGCTGTTATGTATGGCATGTTGCTTTGTAAGATCCCATAGATTTGCAGTCTTAGTTTCATGACAGCTTACAGACGTAAAAGGATTTCCGTCACAAAGGATTGGTAACAAACCGCCCCACGACGCGGGTACGGTTGCCTCGGAGCTCGGGGGGACTTTAAGTTCCACAAATTAAAAAAAAGTAAAATTCAAC